CAGACAATGGACGCGGGGGCAGCATCTGCTGCCAGAGACAAGCCTTGTCTCCTCAGTGGCTCACATTCCAGAGGCTGCTCACAGTCTTAGATGTGGGAGATGGTTTACAGTTCCTGAAACCAGGCAGAGTGGTCCACAACACAGATAATCATGTGGTTGCACATTAGTCAATCACATATAAATATTAGTGGAATTATACACTAATTATATAGATCAGGGTGCTGTGAAGGAGTTGAAGAGGTTGATGATTGGACCTTGATGTGTGGATTAGGCAGCGTTAGCCAGGACAAGCAATAGAAAACTCCACCTATTAGCTGACTTTGCCCAAAGAGGAGAGGTGATCATGAACTCCAGAGCTACACTGGTTTCAGGTATGGCTAGATCCAGGGGCTCCCTTTCTCTGGCTGTGCTTTCCACTGTGTTGGCCTCACTCCCAGGAGCAGCCTCCACTCCACAGGGATGAGGGATGAGGCAAGGGCAACAGCTCTAGGAGGGCACCACTGTGCCATCAACAGAAAGCAGAGCTCTGACTCAGCCAGCCTAACCCAGAACTGCTCTGTGCTGGCCTGCCTTGGGTCAGCCCTCCCCTGAGCCTGTCACGTGGCCTGCTGGGTTTGGAAGCCATGGGTTGGCAGGGAGTGGTGCAAGAGCCTGGGGAGGAGGGTGAACTTCCTGGACTGAGAATAGGGAAGGGGCGGCCTCCAAAGGACCACTGGGAAGAGGGAAGGCTGAGCAGGTAAAAGCCAAGGTCTCCTTCAGAGGGTGACTTTGAAACCTAAGGTGAGCAGGAGGAAGCCAGGTCAAAGGGTAGGGCAGGGGGGTCAGGGTTGAAGGAGCAGTACGTGCACAAAGCCTGGGGTGTTCAAGGAAGCTGCAAAGAGTACTGTGGAGATGAGGGGCCCCATGAGTTGCTGAGGGTGCACGCCTCGGGGAGGGTTAGTGTTATATCCACCAGATGCGAGAATAACTTTCGAAGACCTTTCAGGGTTTTGATCTTATTTTATTGGCCAAGCTTAACCTGCGCAGGGGCGAACTCTCGGAGTGTCCTGAGACACGGTGCCCAAAAGGGCTGCAGATGAGAGCCGCGCCGAACGCTTACAGCTAAGTCCTTATATAGGGACGAGCAAGCAAGCGTTGAACAGAAGCAGACGTGGCAGTTAGCTGTTTGCTGACAGAGACCATGCTCGGGAACAGGGTGGGGTTTCAAAATTCAAAACTTGCCGCGGTCCAGCCGCAGCGGGTCAAGGGGTCCCACAGGTGAGGGTAGGCGTCGGCGCTGGGTAACAGACGACAACACGCCTTAAAGGACAGTGAAGCTCTGTTCCGTTTATTGCAAGTACAAGCAGGTTTTTATATTTTCATTTCAGGTAGTGATTAATATTTGCAGTATAACATGATCATTTAAGCAGAAAAAATTAATACAAAGGTAATCAGTAAAAGTACAAAAGTTCCCATGGATTTAGTCAAAGATTATTTTAACTAGGAGAGCCATTAATCAGACAATTAGAAATATCTTATTGTATATTAAAGTTTCTCAGAATTTGGTATAGGGCAAAAGGATACGCTAAATTGAGTAGAGAAAACAGATTTATTATAAGGCCCTTGTGATGTCTAACTTAGCTATCTACCTTTTTTTTTTTTGCTTAAAATGTTTTTCTGTGTACTATAAATTCTGACTCCCTAGTGACTGTTTAGTTTGTAATAACTAACTAGCTTTTGTTATTTCTTTGCCTGTCTAGCTGATATATATTCTTATTCAAGGTAAAGGAGGGGCTATTCCTATGTTGCAGGGGGCTTTTAAGGGTACTTCTTTTAAATTTCTCTAGGAGTTCTTTTATAGACATGTTTTGTACTTTGATTCCCTCTAAGAAAGTAGTGAGATTATCTCCTGATTTCCTAGAGTATTCTATCTTATCTTGGGTGTTTTTCCAGTGATCTGTTATTGATTAAGCTTGAATTTTCAGATTGTTCTGGTTGTTTCCTTGTGCCTATATTCCCTGACATTCTAGTATGATATTATTATTCTGTTCATTGAGCCGGGAAAGGTCTAGGCACACTATCTGAATCACTGCCAGGGTATTCATAATGATTAAAGCAAAAGGCTCATGATCCCCAAAGCAAGCACAATCACAATAGGTATTGCAGGGCCTTCCATGCCACGTCCACCAGGTTGGAAACTGCTTCCTTGAAGTCTTACACCCCCTCTCAGGACCTTGTCACGGAGAGAGGGATCCAACAGTGGACGCGGCAGTGGACGTGGCAAAAACTAAACAGATTACAACCTGCCTATCTTGCTCTAAGTAGGGCACTCACACACTGCAGGATGTCTGCTCAGCCTTTGTTTGCATGCTGTTCCTTGTTCCTGTTTTGCTCTGGTCAGGCTATGTTCTCAATTTCCCAGATCTCAACAGTTAGGAGTTTAGTGCGAGTCTGTAAAAGGGGAGAGAGGTGTTGACGTGCCCGGATCCATGTTTAAAAAGCTTGAACTGCGAGGACTTCCGCCAAGATGGAGGCATAGGTGGAGACACTGTGCTTTCTCACACAACCAAGTTTAGAGACAACAAAATATTAGCAATAGAAAACACAGCCAGAACACAGAAAATTGAACTTTTCAGAAGTCTGATAACAACGAATTTTCAGCCTGACCGGTAAGAGGGGCAAAGTCAGCAGCTGGCGGAGCGGGGTTGCACAGGAAAACTCGGTCAGACGGACTCAGGCGCATGGATCCCAGGCGTGAGGTTGCAAGGGGCAGACCCAGTGAGCGACCCAGTGAGTGACCCAGCGAGGGCGCAGGGCGGTGGGTTGACTGGTCACGCATTCCCGCGCAGACAGACTGGCGAGGGAGTGGGCAGTGAGACAGGACCAAGCAGGCCCCAGCAGCGGGAGGCAGCAGAGGGGGCCGCCATTTCCCGGCTCTGACCCCGCCCCCACATACAGCGTCACAACCCAGCGACCTGGGCGGCCCTGCCCTGGTGAACACCTAAGGCTCTGCTCATACTTAACGGGCCCGAACAGACCAAAAATGGCTCAAGAAGATCTCAAAGCCCCAGAGCCCATAACTCTAAGTGACGAAGAAATAACAAAACTTTCAGGTGCACAGTTCAAAACACTGGTGATCAGGATGCTCACAGAACTGGTTGATTTTAGTCACAAATTAGAGGAACATATGAAGGCTAAACTAATTTAAATGAATGGAAATACACCAGAAACCAATAGTAATGGAAAGGAAACTGGGACTCAAATCAAGGAAGTGGACCAGAAGGAAGAAAAGAATGACCAAACAGAAAAGAATGAAGAAACAAGAATTCAAAAATATGAGAAGAGACTTAGGAACCTCCAGGACATCTTTAAACGCTCCAACATCCGAATTATAGGGGTACCAGAGGGGGAAAGGAACAGCCACCAGTGGAAAACTTATTTGAACAAATAATAAAGGAGAACTTCCCCAATTGTTGCATCCATCAACAACACGAAAGACAAATTGTCAGAAACTTTCAGGATTCAGAAATGTTATTTTATTGGCCAAAGTTTTAACTTGCGCAGGGGTGGACCCTCAGAGTGTCCGGAGACACGGTGCTCCTAAGAGCTGCAAACGAGAGCCGCCCTAAGCGCTTACAGCTAAGTCTTTTTATAGATGCGAGCAAGCAAGCATTGTATAGAAGCAAATGTGGCTGTTAGCTACTGGCTACTCGGGTGGCGCGAGCATGACCTAAGCTTTCTGGGTTTTGAGTAATGGAAAAAATTTAACCTAGACACTTGAACAGGTGGTCCTCTACTTGTTCAGCCCCATTGGTTTTGTAGTTCTGCCTTCTCCACTCCCTATGTTTTCTTAACTTCCTTGTGGTTTCTGCTCTAAGTTCCTTGTTCCTCCAGGCCAAGTCTCTTTAAGGCAGTCCCTATTTTATTCCCTATTTTTCTGGTTTCAACACAATCTGGCAAAGGAAATAGACTTCCAGGAAATCCAGGAAGCTCAGAGAGTCCCAAATAAGTTGGACCCAAGAAGGAACACACCAAGGCACATCATAATTACATTACCCAAGATTAAAATGAAGGAGAGAATCCTAGAAGCAGCAAGAGATAAGGGGACAGCACCTACAAAGGAGTTCCCATCAGACTGTCAGCTGATTTCTCAAAAGAGACCTTACAGGCAAGAAGGGGCTGGAAAGAGGTATTCCAAGTCATGAAATCCAAAGACCTACAACCAAGATTACTCTATCCAGCAAAGCTTTCATTTAGAATGAAAGGGCAGATAAAGTGCTTCTCAGATAAGATCAAATTCAAGGAGTTCATCATCACCAAGCCCTTATTATATGAAATGTTAAAGGGACTTATCTAAGAAAAAGAAGATAAAAAATATGAACAGTGAAAGGACAGCAAACTCACAGTAATTAACAACCACACCTAAAACAAAAGCAAACTAAGAGGACAGCTAGATCAGGAGCGAACCATAAAAATGAAGATCACATGGAGGGTTAGCAACAGGGGAGTGGGAGGAGGAGAAGGGGGGAGAAGGTACAGAAAATAAGTAGCATAGACGGTAGGTAGAAAATAGATAGGGGGGAGGGCAAGAATAGTAGGGGAAATATAGAATCTAAAGAACTTGAGACATGTGTTCATGAACTAAAGGGGGGGAATGGTGGGGGAGGGGTGTGCAGGGTGGAGGGGAATGAAGGGGGGGAATAGAACAACTGTAATGGCATAATCAACAAAATAAAAATTTTAAAAAAGATAAAAGAAAAAAAAAAGCTTGAACTGCAAGGGGACCAGGCTGCAGACGCCCTCTTCCCGAGGCAGCCCCCTCCTTCCCTGGCAGCCCCCCTCCACGCCTCCCAAAGTGCTCCCCACCCTCCCCCTCCACACACCTCCCCTCTCAGCTGCCTCTTCGTCCCCACACGCCCCTCCCCTGGCCCCTCACACCCCTTGTGTCACCTCTGGGCATCCAGCCTCCTCACCTCGGAACAGGTCCCATGACCGTGGTAAAAATAACCGGCAGCAGGAGAATGGGGGGTGGAGGGAGGCTGAGGCGCCCGCTCCCACACTGAGCAAGGGACCCTTGGTGTTGAGAGCAGGGAGGTGCCCTCTCCTGGGCCCTGAAGGTGGTGCTTAGCTCCGCCCCTGCCCCCCCTCCATGGGGGGCCCTGGGTCACAGAGATGAGTTAGCTTGGTCAGGCGCACGCCCAGCACGGGCAGTGAACCGGCTAGGTGGAGGAGCCCTCAGAGAGGTGAGTACCCCAGCACACAGGGTCCCCCACCAGGCTGGAGCCCCCCGCTTCCACCTGCCCAACTCTGCCCTCTGTCCCCAGCTCCCGGCTGCCACCCAGGACCCCCCTCAGCACCTTCAGTGATGCCTCTTTACCGTGTCTGGTTGGCCCGGAGTGGGCCCCTCCTATCCAGTCCAAGGGGGCTCGTCTGAGCCCCCACCCCATGTCTGAGCCCCCATGGCGGGCACTGCAGCAGTGAGCAGGAGGCGGCCACAGCGGGTGAGCATGCAGGAGCACATGGCCATCGACGTGAACCCGGGGCCCATCCGGCCCATCCGCCTCATCTCGGACTACTTCCCACACTTCTACCCCTTCGCCGAGCCCGCCCTGTGCACCCCAGACCCGCACCCTGCGGTGGCCCCTGCCATCCGCTCTGCACCCCAGCTGCAGCCCAACCCGGAGCCAGAGGGAGACTCAGACGACAGCAGTGAGTGGGGCAGGGGGTGAGGGGCAGCCTGGGCCCAGCCCACCCAGGGTGGGACCCGAGGCATCCCAGCCATCTGACCTGTGAGGGGCAGGGCAGGAGGCATGGGGCCAAGGAGCGGGCGTCCAGGTAGGAACTGACCTTGCGTGCCGCCGGCCCGCAGCTGCCCTGGGCACCCTGGAGTTCACACTTCTCTTTGACGCGGACAACAGTGCCCTGCACTGCACGGCTCACCGTGCCAAGGTAAGGGTGGGGCTGGGGTCCCTGGGCCTGGGCCACAGGCCTGGCCCACATCCATTGTCTCTGCCCAGGGCCTCAGGCCACCAGCCTCCGGCTCCGTGGACACCTACGTCAAAGCCAATCTGCTGCCAGGGGCCGACAAGGTGAGGGCAAGCCCCAGACCCATGCTGCCCCCCTCTGTCCACCCTGATTCTTCCCCTCGAGGCCTGGGCTTCACGCCAGAGCTCCTCATTGCTGGATGTACAGCTGAGGAGTCTATCGGGGAGGTGGGGGGGGGCAGGGCCCTGGAGCCTGAGGACACCCCGACCTACCCTGCCTGGCCCTCAGGCAAGCCAGCTTCGGACACGTACTGTTCGGGGCACAAGGGGACCTGTCTGGGAAGAGACACTCACTTATCACGGCTTCACCCGCCGGGATGCGGAGCGCAAGACCCTGAGGTACGGATCGGGCCTGGGCCATGAGGGAGTGGGGTGGATGGGGGCTTGCCCGTCCAGGTCTGACTCGGGGGACCCCCAGGCTGTGTGTGTGCGAGGACCCGAGGTTGCGGCGCCGGCGGCGAGGGCCTCCCCTGGGGGAGCTGCGGGTGCCTCTGAGGCGGCTGCTGCCCAACCGAGCCAGGAGCTTCGACGTGTGTCTGGAGAAGCGGAGGCTGGTGAGTGGGCTGGCACCCGAGTGGGGCTCCAGGGGCCAGCAACCTTGTGACGGCAGAGCTGGAGAGGGGAGGGTCCGGGAGGGGACTGGGGCAATGTCCAGCCATGGTGACCAGGCTCCCTGCTCTTTCAGAACAAGAGGCCCAAGAGCCTGGACACATCCCGTGGCATGTCTCTGTATGAGGTACGCAGGACAGTGGGACAGAGCAGGGACGTGGCGGGGACAGGCCTGGGGTACCCAGGCTGGAGTGGGTCAGGCAGGGGCCGAGGTGGGCTTGGAGGGACCTGGGCCATCTCCCTCATGTGCTCTGGGGATGCTGGGAGCCCCGGGGAGCAGCTGGGCCAGAGGAGGGCGGGGGTGGGGTGGGGGGGACAGCAAAGCCCTCAGGGCACAGCGGCTGAAATGGGTGGGATTTGTCTGTGGCCGGAGGAGCTGGGAAGGCAGGAGCAAACGGACAGGGTGGGGTTCGCTGACTGCCAGGTTGACCCCTGGGACAGTGTGGGTGCCTCTGCTGAGGCCCGTGGGCCCTTGTCGGGAGGCAGTGACGGTGAGTGCAGGGCCCACCAGAGGCCAGAAAGCCCAGGGCCTCTTTGGCCTGGGAGGGGCTGGGATACTGCAAGGTTGAGGCAGGACAGTCGGGTCCCCCTCAGATCGAAGGGCCAGGTGCTGCGGACCTGCCACCTAGTGGAGCCCCAAGTTACTCCAGCTGCCGACTCTGCCAGGCCAGGCAAGTCCCACGGTGGGGGGCGGGCACCCAGCGGCACCGGCAACCAGTCCCAGACCCCACACAGTGCCGTGCCTCGGTGCACGGCGGGTGCTCACGGGACACCCCCATGCTGAGAACTGGGTGTTAGCGAGGTGGTTGGGCTCTCTGCCCTCCGTTAAGCGTGGGGGAAACCCGTTCTCCCTCCCAGCCTCCCTGAGTGCCTCTGGATGCGACGGGGCCAAGGGAGGCAAAAGACACTCATCGTCAGGTCCCCGGCATGGCCAGAGGTGAAGAGGGTGGGGTTTTTATCTACTTACTTATTTAAGGTTTATTTTTAGAGAGAGGGGGAGGGAAACATCAATGTGTGTGTGGTTCCTTCTCACACGCCCCCTACTGGGGGCCTGACCGGGAACCGAACTGGCAACCTCAGGGTTGGCAGGAGCACGTTGGACCCAGCGAACCACAGCCGTCAGGGCGAGGGGGGGTGGTTTGTAGCAGAAAAGGCCTGTATGTCCTCTCAGGGCGGCTTCCGTGACACGGGGCCCAACCTGCCGGAGGGTAGCAGTGAACACTTAGGGGGAGGCCACCTGGGAAGCCCCTGGCGCGTCCCACGATGAACGAGCATGGAACTGACCAGTCACGTGGCCTGAGCAAGCCCCTCCCCTCTCAGGCCGCCCGTCAGTGACTGTTTCTGGAGACCGATCATGGGTTTAGATCACTGGTCCCCGATTCCTCTGCAGCCGGTCTGAGTTCTAACATCCTGGCTGATGCTGGAGGGTGGGTGGGCTTTGGGCCCCACGGGGCTGACCCCGGCCACCCTGCAGGAGGCGGCGGAGGCTGCGGCTGGGGAGGAACGCGGGCGCATCCTGCTGTCGCTGTGCTACAGCTCGCAGAGGGGCGGCCTGCTGGTGGGGGTGCTGCGCTGCGCCCACCTCGCCCCCATGGACGCCAATGGCTACTCGGACCCCTTCGTCCGCCTGTGAGTGTGAGACAGGGTGGGCGCGCGGGTTCCTCAGAGCCCCTCTGGGGCTCACCTCACCTCTCCAGAGCCGCACCTAACCCGACCCCATCATCCCCAATCAGTTTTCTGCACCCTAATGTGGGAAAGAAATCTAAATACAAGACCAGCGTTCGGAAGAAGACCCTGAACCCCGAGTTCAACGAGGTAGGCCAGGGCTGGGCCCAGGCAGTTCCGGCTGCTCTGGGCAGTGGGGCGGGCGGCAGCACCTGCTTGGGCCAGAAAACACAGGTCCCAGCTGACCCAAGTCCCTCCCCAGCTCCAACGGGTTTGTGAAGCTGTGAAGGGCCCGAGCCCTGCCTTCCTCCCCATCCCTGCGTCCCTGCAGGAGTTCCTCTACGAAGGCCCGAGGCAGGAGCTGGCCCAGAAGACACTGCTGGTGTCCGTGTGGGACTACGACCTGGGCACAGCTGACGATTTCATCGGTGAGTGGGACAGCAGGGACGCTGGGTGGCCACCCAGTGGGTGCCCACACAGCTGCTGACCCCTGCTGCCAACCCAGGTGGGGTGCAGCTGAGTGGCCAGGCCAGCGGGGAGTGCCAGCGGCACTGGAGGGAGTGTCTGGGCCGCAGCGACCGCCGGCTGGAGCTGTGGCACCCGCTGGACGGGGCGCCCCTCCAGCTCAGCGACTAGCGGGGGCACCTGGCCCTGCTCACCGCTTCTCCCCCAAACTGACCGATGTCTCCCCCGAGTTGGGAGGACCTGGGGATGCCTCACTCACCATGCCCAGCACCTAGTTAAATTGTTTCCCGTCTTCCGCCTTTCAAATCTGTCCCCCACCAAACAAGGAAGCAAGAATAAACCTCTGCTCCGAACCAGACTAGGCAACGCGCGTTCTTCCCCTGCCTGTCGCCTCACAGGGCAGACCAGCCCTGCTGTCCTCACCCCCACCCCCAGAACACCCTCCCCCGCCCCCCTGCTTCCTGAGGTGTGGGGAGGGCTGGGCGTTCAGGGTGGTTTCAGACAGAGTCATTGCCCACAGGAGGCCGGGGTCTGGGTTCACGACATGGCCCTGAGCTGACCTGTCCTCCCCTAGCCTCCCTGACCTGGGAAACAAGGCTCCATGAGTAACGGGCCTCGGGTGGCAGGGGGAAAAGCGAGGCCACAGAGAAGCCGTAACGACAGTGGGCAGCACCCGCTTTATTGTCCATCCATCTTCTGGACGGAGGCCAGCCCAGGGCAGCAGGCTCAGGAGGCGGCTTGCCTGGCTTGGTGCTGCTGGGCAAACCGCTGCATCCGGTCCTCGAGCTCCGGCCGGAAGTGGCGGATTAGACCCTGGAAGGGGGTGAGGGCACTGTGTGAACTGAGGTCTATAAATCCTCCGCCACCCTGGGTTTTCAGCAACCCATCCCCGGAGCCACAGTGGGGCAGTGAGTACCTGCACGGGCCAGGCCGCCCCGTCGCCCAGGGCACAGATGGTGTGGCCCTCTATCTGCTTGCTGATCTCCCACAGGGAGTCGATCTCGGCTGGCCGGGCGTCCCCCCGCACAAAGCGGGCCATCACCTTGTTCATCCAGTCCACACCTGCGGCCACAGCAGCGAGGGACTCAGAGAAGCCGGCAGGCTGGGAGGCAGCACCTGTTTATTCAGGGCCCAGAGCCCACCCAGGTGCAGGGTGAGCCACCGAGAAAGCCCCTGCCCCCCCGGGTGCTCACCCTCGCGGCAGGGGGTGCACTGGCCACAGCTCTCGTGCTTGTAGAACTCAATGAGGCGGGCGATGGCTTTCACAATGTCTGTCTGGAGCGACAAGGGACAGTGAGTGGGCATCCAAAGCCTGAGCCTTAGCCCCTAGAAGCAGCCCTTTCCCGTTCCAAAAACGTTCTGGCCGCTCCCCCGTCCCCCTGGGGCCTCCTGCCCCCGAGCAGTCCTGCTCCCCTCCTCTCCCACCTGCAGCTCAGGCTGTGGGGTCTGGGACCCAGGAGCTGGCAAGAATTCTCAGAGAAGCCCAGGAGGGGTGCTAAGCAGGCTGGCACGGGTGGGGGCCGGGTGGGGGCCACGGCCGTCCTTACCGAGCGGTCCATGACGATCACCGCGGCCGTGCCCAGGCCCGTCTGCGCCTGCACCAGTGCGTCGAAGTCCATCAACACCGTTTCACACACGGACTTGGGGATCAGTGGAGTGGATGAGCCACCAGGGATGACAGCAAGGAGGTTGTCCCAGCCACCAGTGACACCCCCTAGGGTCACAGTCAGGTCCCCAAAAAATCGATGGTCAGGTCCCGGGCCAGCACAGCTGCCTAGTCCTAAGCCCAGGACCTGTCCACCCCTCCCCGCTCTCCCCAGCCTGACACCCTCCAGCCCCGGCTCTCTTCATGGATGCCCCGCCCCCCGCGCTCCCCGGTGGCCCCAGGCCTCACCGGCGTGCTTTTCGATCAGCTCCTTCAGCGGCACAGACATCTCCTCCTCCACAGTGCATGGGTGGTTGACGTGGCCAGAGATGTTGAACAGTTTGGTGCCTGAGTTGCGCTCACGGCCAAAGCTGGCAAACCAGGCACCCCCACGGCGGCAGATGGTGGGCGACACAGCCACTGTCTCCACATTGGCCACAGTTGTGGGGCAGCCAAACACTCCTGTGGGGAAATGGGACAAGAGACCGGTGGCTGCCAGGAGTGAGGGCAAATCGGGACAGGTTTCCCGGCAGCGGGTCTGTCCCAGGGTCCTGCTCCCGTGGCAGAGCGCCCCCTACCCCTCCACCCTTGTCATTCCCACTGGAGCCCAGCTCCACCAGCTCCTGCACCACCGGCTCTCTGCTCCCAGCAGGTTGGAGGGGATTTGGGCCTCTCACATGGGGGCTGAAGCAAGATGAGGCAGGCGGCACGGGCGGGGCCTCCATATTGTTACCGCCCTACTCTCTGGGTCTGGCCCCCCCCTCAGGGCAGAGGGAGCTCCGAAATTCCCTAAGAAAGACTAGCAGGGACTTAAAGCCAGGGTCCAGACTGCACAGGACACAGGACGAGGCCCAGGGGCTTACCCACGTCTGCGGGGAAGGGTGGCTTCAGGCGGGGCTTGCCCTGCTTGCCCTCGATGGACTCGATGAGCGCCGTCTCCTCCCCGCAGATGTAGGCCCCTGCCCCGCGCACCACGAACACGTCGAAATCGTAGCCAGAGCCGCAAGCGTTCTTGCCGATCAGACCAGCCTCGTAGGCCTCTCGGATGGCCACCTGTGGGACAGGTGTGAGGGCAGTGTCCCTAAGAGCCTGGCAATGCTGTGCGTGAATGGGGTGGGAGTAGGGGGCGTAAGCCCTGGGAGCCCTTCACCAAATCCAGGGCAAAAGCCCCCTCTGGACATGAGTGGAGGATGCTCTGGGAGAGGTGAGGACATCTACTGTGAGCGCATGCTAATGTAACGGTGACACTTACAGATTCTCCAACTATATCTATTTTTAAAGACAGATTTTAGGATAATGAAAATTTAGCACACAGTATCTCTAGGTAGTGGATCTGTGGGAGGTTTTTCTATTTTGTGTGTGCAGTTTCCCATCTTCATAATAAGTACCACCTCTGCAACAGAGGAGAAGGCCCTGGAGGTTTATTTAAAAATATGTAATAATAATAATTCTCGTACACGATGCTAGTGTGTACCAGGCACCATTCACAGTGCCATTCCTGTGTCCCTCGTCATTGTGTAGGAGCTGAACAGAAAGGTGTGACTTGGCCCTGGACCGGTCACAACAGGCATCACTAAGCTAAGAATGACTGAAATGACCCCGTGACCCTTCTGCAGGAAACATGGCCTCGTATGAGTTTCCCCAGCCCACCCGCACCCTGGGACTCATGGAGCCCAGAAGGCCTCCCAAATGGAGGCTCTGGAGCATCCTGGAAGGGCCCAGAGGAGGAGGCTATGGGGGCCAGGTCCCATTCATAACGTATGCAGGGGTGACTGCTAGTCTCCCAGTTTGTCCCACACAGATCAGGCGCTAAACTCTAAGAGCAGCTATGCCAGGTAAGCAGGTGTGTGAGGATGCACTGATCATGTCCTCTTCGCGGACGCCGTCCCCCGGCCCACCTGCAGATTGGAGGCCTCGTTGTAGAACTCCCCACGGATGTAGATGTAGGCTGCACGGGCGCCCATGGCCCGGCCCCCCACGAGGCAGCCTTCCACGAGCTTGTGGGGGTCGTGGCGCATGATCTCCCGGTCCTTGCAGGTGCCCGGCTCCCCCTCATCGGCATTCACCACCAGATACTTGGGCCTGTGGGGGCCAACAGGTCGGTCAGGCTACAGGGACCCTGGGGACGGTCTCCTACCCCCACACTACCCAGGGAAGCCTCAGTGATGTCCCCTCAGACAGCCTTCCCTCCCTGCCCGCCCACCATGTCCCCGGGGGCTCTGCCTGCTCACCACCAGTGACAGGGAGCTCACTACCTATTCTGCCCTTGGTGGCTAGAGCCACAGGAAAGGTCTTTGTCCCGCTCAGCCCAAATGTCTCTCCTTGTGCTTTCCCAAGAGCCCAAATTCTGTTCTTGGTCACAGAGGGCCTTCCAGACAGTTATCATTTGCTTTTTATGTGTAAACTAATAAGCAGGCCAAAAAGTATACAAATGGTATCTCTTCAATCCCTATACAGTAGAACATCCATTTACAGAGAAGAATGCTGAGGTTCAAAAAGGCCAAGAGACTGCCCAAAGCCAAGTGACTAGGAGGCAGAGCTAGTTACCGATCGGTTAGGTCTGCCTGGGTCAGAAGCCTGTGCTGACCCTCCTGCTCCTCCAGTCGCCTCTGAGGAGCACAAGAGAAAATGGAGTCCCACCTGCTTAAGCTCTGGTAACATTTTCCCACTTTATTCTCTCCAGGAAACTACCCAAAGCCCTGGGTAAGCCACAGCCCCCCGCAAGGCTTTGCCTGCAACCCCAAACCTGGCCCCCTAAACGCACCTGCCGTCTGAGGGCTTATTCATGAAGCTCCACTTGAGGCCGGTGGGGAAGCCAGCACCTCCACGGCCCCTCAAGCCTGACGTCTTGACCTCACCCAGGATCCAGTCAGGCCCCTTCAGCAGGATCTCCTTTGTCTTGTACCAGTCACCTCGACTCTGGGCACCTTTCAGCCTGGACAGAGCAGGGACGGCAGTGAAGGGGAGGCCCCGCCCTGCAACCCACCAGGCTAAGGGTATCATCTCACCTCCAGTCATGGCGGCCATACAGGTTGGTGAAGATCCGGTCTTCATCCTTCAGCGAGCCAAATGAGGTTTTCTTGGGAGCTGCCTGGGGACAAAGAGGGTCGGAAGGTCCAGCAGAGCTCTGGGGTCATAAGGGGCCAGGACGGAAGCTACAGATTCTTGGGTCCTGCTTATCAGAGGGGGCGGGACTGGGGAGAGGGTAGGGCCTAAGCCTTAGAACCCTTCGCAACTTCATAGCTACCACCACCACTTAGTAAGCACTTCCTGTTCAGCAGGCAGTAGGCTATGCATTTTACATCCAAAACCCCAATTCATTCTCAAAACCCTGGGATGGGAATGGTTTTCCAGGATCAGAGCAAAATGAACTTATGTAAGGGCATAGAGCCGAAAGCAGCAAATGGAGTTTGAACTCAGGTCTATCTGTCGCCAAAGCCCACACCTGGACCACAGCACCACACTACCTCACTGAGGCCAGTGTGCCGGTGTGTCCATTTCCTTGTCTGGCTGGCCTACCGGGCCCAAACTTAGTTATATTGCTAACTCTGCTGGAGGCAAAATGCGTTTACTGATGGAAAAGAAACGCCTCACTAGGGCTGGGTGATGGAGGGAGATCCACTTGGATAAGACTGATGAGGAGAGGTGGGGTCTGGAATTGTATGTAACCCAGACGTGAGCACCCCAGCTGAGGGCTAAGGGCAACTGGCTTCCACACTCACTAAAAACCACTACAGAGGCAGAGCGCTGAACGGGGAATCGGGCGGTGCACATCCCGCCCCAAAACTGTTTTCTGCATCTGCAAAATGGAGCAATGACACATACACTCCCTACAAGGTTGTGGCAAGGAAGGAATGAGACGCGGCAGCTTCGCCACCTGCTGAACTTCCCTCTGGTAGCCAGTGAGGGCAGTCAGCCTTCTGTTGGGACCCATTCCCCTTCTACACCCATGCCAGAGGGGCAACCTTCCTGCCGGGATGGGGAGACGAGGAGGATTCTCCAGGAGGCACTACAGCCCCAAGGGACAGCGCGCGCAGAAGCGGCAGCGAGACCCGCCCGCGAGCATCCCCAGCCGAAGCCAGCCCGGGCCTCACCGTGTCGCCGCTGAAACGCACGGACACCCGCGCGGGGAGCGACCCGCCCAGCAGCCGCCGTGCCGCCAGCATCGCGGGGGCCAGCCCAGTCACCTCCCGCTGTCACCTTCACGGTTCTGGAGTCCGAGGGACCGGCGCGACTAGGACGCTAGGCGGCGCACAGGAAGCACGTCACGCGCCCCAGCGTCGGCGGCGCGCCCAAGCATCTGTGCATCTCTCCGACCCAGCCCTCAGCCCCGCCTCCTCAGGGTTGGGCGAAGAAACCGGAAGTGGTCTCTCTGGCGTTGGGGATGCTGGGAGATGTAGTCCCAATCGGCCTGAGACCCGCCTTCCTCTCGCCACCCGGCTAGCGAGCGCTTACTTTTTGGGGCGGTCACTTGCCCACTCCCTTATTCGTCCGCTTGGCTTCCTCGAGTTCGCTTCCAGACCCAGACTTTCAAACCTCAAGTAACAAACCTCGCGTGTCGCCTCCTGCCGGGTTCTGGTGTTTGCCACTTTCTACAGGTTCAAGATTTAGTGTGCACGGCTGTATGCACAAGTGGACGTGGGGAGGAGGAGAAATCTGGCCGGCTACAGCCCACCTCGTGACTACATTGTCGTTGTTCTGTCCCAGTCCAAGCCCTCCTAGACCGTGATTCTCCCCTCCCCGCCCCCCTGTGCTCAGGAAAGGATGTGCTCCTTAGCAGCAGAGAGCCGGGGCAGCTCCAGAGGTGGGCAGGGGTGGACCGCGGAAGCGCTCCCAGAGGTGTGTCTCGAGTCCTTGGTGGAGTGAGGATGGAGATGAGCAGCGGTGACTCTGCTAAGGTCCTACCAACCGTCCCCTTTTCAGCCTGCGTCCGGGAAGTCGGGCACTTGCGACTCCTGCTCACTATCCCGCAGCGGCTCCTGCTACCTTTCCCAGTGGGGCCCTGGCCTGGCGGTTAAGGACTTCGCTCTTCTCTGCAGAGTCATCTGGCCCAGGTAATGTCACACCCCTCCCCCAAGGACCCCTTCCTCTTGGGGCTTTAGGGCCTTTGTGTGGCTGCCACGTGGTACTCCCCTGACCTGAGGGGGTCCTCTGTCCCGTGCCTTTTGGTGAAGTCTTGGAAGCCCGATTAACCCTTGTGTTCTTCAGTCCCCTGAAACCCTTTGGCTCTGAGACCTGCCCTGGTCCCGACATAAGTGTGTGCTTTCTGGTCTCTTCCGAGCTTCTCTGTTCTCCACTCCTGTGATCATCCTTTCTCATCTCTCGGGAAACGTGCTATGAACAAAATTTGCTCTTATTTTTTCGTATACTCTCCACAGCAGCCCTGGATGGTGTTATTTCCATTTTATACATGAAAAGAATTGAGGCCTGTGGCAGCTTCAGCCTTGTCCGTGGGCACCCACTGGGAGCTGCCCAGTGTTAGAGCCGGACTCAAACCCAGGCCTTTCTTCCTTCCCAGAATGCCCCCCACACCACAAAACCACAAAACAGTTGGCACACATGTGACAGTTATTGTGAGATGTCAGCGGTATTTCCAAAAGAGGCACCCAAACACTGGTACCTTGTCTGAGTTCTTCCAGATAGATAGGGCAGTCCCAGGCCCTCAGACCAGCAGTCCTGGCTCCCAGCTGCAGCCCCCACTTCTGGCTGGGGAGAGAGCTCGCCCAGACAGATCTGGGGATTACACAGCTAAGCCGGGGCTCAGACCTGAGTGGGTGAAACCGTCCCTCTGGGGAGGGAGAAGGGGGTCCGGATGGAGCCAGAGGATGGCTCCATCATCCGTCTCTAACTGGGTCAGGGGAACACAAGGCCATGGGGAGAAGGCAGCCTGGGGATGGGAGATGGCTGGACATGGGGTGATGGGAAAGGGAGAGTGAGGGGCAGCATCTGTTCGCCCAATGCCAGGCTCTGTTCCAAGCACTTGCCATGTGTTATCTCCTTAATCCTCCTGCAGCCTGGGTGTAGGAATGATGAGCCTCTGTTTTCAAAAGAGGATAGAGTATCAGCAACGTTGAGTGGCCTATTCAGGACAGCACAGCTGCCAGAACTTGGCTTGAGGTCTCCTGACCCTACGTCCCCCACTCTATCCCCACCCACCTAGAGCACCTGCTCAGCAGGCTCCACCAAGTGACACCTCCCAGGAAACCCTTTTCCGAGGTGCTGCAGGCCCTGGCTCTTACCACTCCCTCTGCACCTGCCCCATCCTACACCACTGTCCCCATCTGCCTTCCCCACCAGCCTCCAAGCCGGAATCGGGGAGGTCCGCAGATCCACTGCATCCTGCCGGCTCTGTCTTCTGAGCACTCCCTGTTCTTGCGCCTTCAGGCTCTGCGCCATGGCCATGGCCCCGGCCCCTCAGATTTCCCCCGGAACTTTGCAAAGCCTCATTGATATCACCCAGCCTCCCAGCTTGATCTCTCCGATCCTTTCTTTGCACCCTGAAACTGTTGTAAACCTCAGATCCATTTCATTTCTGCCCTGAGACACTTCCTGGTTCCTCAGAGTCCTCAGGACAAAGCCCTAGCCCCTTGGCCTGGCATTCAAGGTCCTGTGCCCACCTCCCTGGCTCCACTTTGGAATCTCTGCGTACACAGGCACAGAGATCCACCTTCACCCCTTCCTCCTCTTCCTTAGGAGCCGTCCCCAGCCACCTTTCCTCCACACAACAGTCCAGAGCAACTACTGCCCCAGGCCCCGTGCGGCTACAGCCCCACCCGATTTCTCTTCTGACCCCTAGCCGGGAGCTTCTCGAGGCACATGCTAACTCAATATTACAATCTAATTTTATATTTGGAAAATAAAAAACATTGAAGTTTTCCCTTTGTGGACCATTTAGGAAATACAGAAAAGACGAAACGAAGCAGGGACATGTTTTCACCACCCTGGCTTCCTCCCGTTGATGCGGACCCCGGCTCGTGGGGTCCACCCCATTGTGGATGAGGCACGAGAAATTCACACAGACTGCCAGGTCCTGTAGAGGAAAAGGGACGACATGGCTTTTCTCAAGGGGAGAAAAAGCCGCAGCCCCAGCTGTGACCGGCCTTCGTAGGGTGGGAGGCCTTTATTGGGTTTCTTGGCACAGTACATGACGGTCCTCTTTTGCTATGCGCAGGTTTGCTTTAGGTGGTTACCTTTTGCAGAAAACAAAAGAGCGGATGCTGCTAATCACATCACAGAAGAGGGATCTTTGCAAATGAAAAGGGAAAAGTAGTTGAACCGGTTATACTCGTCCTTGGAAGGTTTAGCATGGATTTTAGGAAGTTACTTTACAGTAAATGTTTACTGCCCCAATTCAGGGTGAGGGAGTTTTGGCCAAAGCAAGTCTCACAGCTGTCTAGGTACAATGCAGGCCTGATTCCCCGCTGGAGAACCTATCTGTGGACGTGGGTCCTGTGCATCAGACCTCGCTTTCCACTGGGAGCTGGGTCCACACCACGCAGAATGGTCTCCTACACCCCGTGATTATTTTTGCTGATTTGTTTGCACTCTGTCTTCCAGAGGATTTCAAAAACGTTTCACAGGAGCACAGGAATGTTCCTTAAACATTTAGACTTCAACCAAAAAAACACGTTCCTCTGCCCCAGGGTCAGATGCTGTTGAATTCGAGATCATTGTCCAATTCTCTTTCAAAAACACCTTTTCTTGTACATATGCTTACTTACCCTTAGGAAACTATGCATGTTCGGTGCTTTTTATTTGTGGTACTGGTATCTCGCTCTAACACAACTCTTCACTTTGCTTTTTTTTAAATCCAGTGCCATGTTTTTTGAGATTAGTTCATGTGATATAAATAGATTACTTACAGGTAATACCAGAGCTTCAAGGTTAAGAGCCTGGAGTCAAAGTCCTGCTTCTAGCACTCACTAATTATGTGGTATCGTGGCCCGAATCTTTCATTCCCTCAAACGGGAAATGCAAGTAACACGGCCCAAAGGGGCGTCTGTTCGGGCCCTGCATGGGCGGTGCCTGCCACAGCCAACTTGCAGGGATGCTGAGCTCCGTCCACACTGGCCTGTCGATGAACCTAGAGACCATCCACCCCACAAGGGATTGAGTCCCCCCACGCAGGAAGGGGGCCCCACTCAGTTTTTCAGCTCTTTTAGGTCCTTCACTAAACATTTAAGGTGTTTTCTTTCTCAAAGAAAATCTGCATATTTAAAAAAATTTTATTTTTAGGGAGGGGGAAGGGAAGGAGAGAGAGAGAAAAACATCGATGTGTGGTTGCCTCTCGTGCGCCCCCTACTGGGAACCTGGCGCACAACCCAGGCATGTGCCCTGACTGGGAATTGATCCTTTGTTTCACAGCCTGTGCTCAATCCACTGAGCTATACCAGCCAGAGAGCTGCACATTTTAAAATATAGGAACTTTATGTGATGTTTTGCCTTTCTATGTTTTGTGATCTAGAGCTATCAGTTTGCCTCCACTGAATTGGTCTCGCCTGGTACAAAAGTGTGTCCACTGAAGCTTTTTCGTTTCCATGCTGACGCTCACATTGTTGAGAAGTAACGAGAGCAGAGTATCTCCCTGTCTAATATCGGGCGTCTCGTTTCTTTTTCTTCCCGTATGGCGCTGAGAGCTTCAGGATATAGCTGAGTAGCGGTGGCAGTAGTGTGCGCCCTTGTGTGGACTGTGACCTCACAGAAGTGTGTAAAACCTTAATATCAGAGCCCCCAACTCCACTTGCTAGAATCTTTGTTTCTCCTTTTCATTTCGTTTACCTTCAGATTTCCTTGGGCCATTTTTCATTGGCTGCTCAGAAGTGGAATTTCTACGAATGGGTGTCTGTCTCCCCCTAATTAGCGGCCCTGACCGTGAAAACAAAGAGAGTGCCTGGAGAAAAGCGCCCTTGAAGTGGGTGCGGAAGGAGGGGGAATCCCAAGCAGTGACACCTTACTGATATGGGAAGCTTTGAGGAACCTTTGTTTACCCAAACCCCAAGCACCCTAGGAAGAGCCATAGGGCCATTGGGGAAAGCAAACGGCAGATATTCACAAGGGCTAGGACTAGCACCACTGCAGTTAGAACTAATTTCCGCATTTAACCTTTGTACTCTGCTTCTGCCACGTAGGTATAGGGAGCCTTACAAGTAGAACTAACTTGCGCATTCCGCTTCTGTATCCTGCTTTGCTACGTAGACAGGAAGACCCCGTAGACTATATAAACCCCAAGAACCCTTTGTTCGGGGCTCAGAATTTGGGGTTTGGCTCCTCTGGGCCCGTGCACATTAATAAACCTCGTACTCCAGAATCCCTCAGTGTCTGGTTGCTTCATTTTCCTGTAACATTACCACCTGTGTAGATGACGCTGGAGACTGGTCCTACCCCCGTCTTTTTTACCCAACATCCCTGCTCAATCAGAGGTGTCCGCCAGGACACCTGCTGCGTCCTGGGTCCGAACCTCTGCCCCCACGCGCTGTGTGTAGCAGGGGTTCTGAGCGGTGTGTTGGAATTGCCAACCGGATCTGGGTGCGGCTTGGCTGGTTGCCCAGAGGCATTTCAAAAATGGGCCCCGCCTCCCATCAGGCATGAAGGGAAATCTCCTGAAGGACTCTGGCTCAATCCTCATCTCAAAACCAGACAGATGTGTGGCTATTGTCCTGCAACCTCTCAACACAAGCTTGGCTGAGGCTTTTTGGTTACTGGGGAAACTCTTCCAAGTCATACTTTTACCATGAAGGAGTGCTCAGTTTCACTGAATGCTGCTTGTGTATCTAAGAAGATCACATTGTTATTCTTCTTCCTTATTGGGTACATTGAACTTTCTGAGGCTCTGTTGCACTGTGGTTGACCTAAAGAGGCAGCAGAATGATTAGGCAGCTAGAACAGACTGAAGCCAGTTGGGACTAAGAACTGAACTCTTCCGCTTACTAGCTCTGCGGCAGCAAGCAAGTTCCTCGGCCGCTCTGCGCCTCGGGGCATCGTTGCTACACTTGAGTCTCTAAGCAGCCCGGGGTACATGGCCTGGAGCAAAGGAAGTACTGCATGCTTGCTGTTCGCTTTTTTCGTTGCTCCTGGAATAGACCTTTTGGTCACTCACTGTACTGCTGAACTGATTTTACATCAGTGCTCACAGTGAGGGCAGCCTATGGTTTTATTGTCTCCAGGAGATCTCGTCCAGTTTGGTTAGAATGAGGGGGGCCACTTCCCACCTTTTCCATACATCACAGCAGTTTGCTGTAGGGAAAAAACGATCATTTTCCGGTGCACGGCTAGAACTCGGGCAAGGCCACCGGGAGCTGGGGCCTCTGCTCAGGGGCGATCTGATCCCTGTTTCCACTTCCTTTATGGTTATTTATTTCCTCGAGCTAACGTTGAACACTGATGGGTTTTTTTAAAGATTCTATTTATTTATTTTTAGAGAGGAAGGGAGAAAGAGAAGGAGAGAAACATCAATGTATGATTGCCTCTCATGTATCCCCTGCTGGGAACTGGCCTGCAATCCAGGCATGTGCCCTGACTGGGAATCAAACTGCGATCGTGTGGTTCGCAGGCCCGAGCTCAATCCAGTGAACTACACCAGCCAGGTGAACATGGATGTTTTAAAGAATGTTTCACTGGTGGGTTTTTTTTCTCATTTGAAGTATTTCTGTGCTCTTTTAACCATCTTGCCTTGAGGTTCAGTTTCTCTGATGTCACGGTCAGTACACAAGCTTTCTTTTTATTTGTATCTGGTAGTTTTTCTGTCTTTTATGTTCAATCTTCCTCTTGTTTTAAGAATACATCTTAGCCCTGGCTGGTGTAGCTCAGTGGATTGAGCGCAGGCCTGCAAACCAAAGGATCAAGTTTCGATTCCCAGTCAGGGCACATACCTGGGTTGCAGGCCAGGTTCCAGTGGGGGACGTACCAGAGGCAACCATACAGTGATATTTCTCTCCCTCTCTCCTTCCCTTCCCCTGTAAATAGAAATGAATAAAATCTTTTTAAAAAGAATACATATTAAAGACAATCTCCAACGAAATTTCATTGGGCTTTGCTTTAATCCAGCCAGCGTCTGTCTTCGGGAAAGAGTGCGAGCCCTTGTCATTTCCTGCGTTGCCGTGGGGACTGCCGCCTGCCGCAGCACATTACCCTGTAGCCCTCCTTCTCTTCGCTTCTTTCTTCCTGTGCGAGCCGGTCTTCTTTTGAACTTGTTGAGTTTTCTTTGTGCTGTTGCCTTCTCCCCCACAATTGGTTTGGGAGTGATCCATTTCATTTCTATCTTTAGTGGTTTTCCGTAGGTTTCTAACAGTCAAAATCACATTTCTTTTTTTTTTCTTTTTCTTTTTTTTTTTTCCAGAAAATGCTCTTTAATATGTCTGTCCTCTTGCTGAAAATGAATCCAGAGAAGGGTATGCTGATCCCCTCGGGCCTTCCTTTCCTCCCGAAGTCTGCACTCCGGTTTTCTGGGTTGGCGCCATCGGTGCCACGGCAGGGAGGGCATTTCTGGCCCGCGGCTTCATGCTGCTGGTGGGGGCCTGGCCTCTCGGCGCTGCTGGCGCCGCTCTGCAGAGCTGGGCGCAGACGGTGGCCCGGCCCCAAGCCCTGTGTGTTCAGCCTGCCGCGTCCCTGCCTCTCCCCCAGGCTGTGGTTTCTCCCTAAACTGCCCTTCAGAGGGAGGCTTACTTGAAGTCCGCACAGAACTGCCCCCTTTTCATTTCTGTGTGTCTGAGATTCCACTGTGAACAGTCCTTTCTTCTCTGATTTTGAAGCGTTTGAGGACAGGGAGGACGCAGGTTGTATTCTGCTGGAGACCGCCCTTTCTTCCGCCTGCTAATTTAAACTTGAGAAAGTGAAGTCAGTCTGTCATGGCTGGGGGGGCCCACACGAGACCAGGGGTGCGCCTTTGGGGAAGCACCCCCACGACGGCCCTGGCCAGGTCTCCCTGAGAGCACCTGCGCCGCATTACCCCGTCACCATTTATCCCCCTACTACCCTCTCCCACCTCCACCCACACTTCAGCCTGTTCTTGCCCCTAATGGCAGCTCTCGACGGCCATGAGGGACGGCAGACGCGGAAGGCTCACACCTCCTGGGCTGGGGGTGGGAGACTCCTCTTCTCCGTTCCCCCAGAGTTCGGGGTTTGGCATTTCTGCAAAGAGAAAATCGGCAAAAAGGAAAGAGAAGAACCTGTTCAGTGCTTATTATGATTACAAACAGGTCAGGTCGTTTGTCATCCGTCACAGGCCCCGCCTCCCGGGGCCACTTCGAACCTGAGAAAGACGGTTTCCTCCCCATACGCGAAGCCCAAAGCCACAAGCCCCGGCGGAGAGGACTCTGGCTGCAGCGGGTCGGAAGCCACAGCCAGTATTTATGGCTTTCTTCCTCGTCCACGCACCGCCACCCCATCTCCAGCCAGCACCTCGGCTGCTGGCGGGGAGCGTCACCGGGCGGGGTTCCTGAGTACCACAGCGGTGTCGAGTCTCTCCAAAGTAATCTGTACACTCACTGCGGATTCCAATCCAAACCCCATCAGGGCGTTTCGTGAAGCTGGGAAAACTAACACAAAAACACGGCTAGAAAAACAAAGGGCCAAGAATGGCCAAGACGATTTGGGGGCATAAGTGGGGGACAGACTCTGTCCTGTCAGGTAACAGGAGCAACGACAACCAGCAGACCGGTGCTTCCGATGTGTGGCGCTTCTTTGCTATTTTTATTTATTTCTCAACTTACTTTTAGAGAGAGGGGAAGGGAGGGAGAGAGAGCAAAACACCAAGGTGAGAGAAAAACACTGATCGCTTGCCTCTTGTACACGCCCCAGCCAGGGGCCAAGCCCACACCCCAGGCACGTGCCCCGACTGGGAATCGAACCTACAACCTTCCACTTTGTGGGTCGACACCCAAGCAACTGAACCACACCAGTCAGGGTGTGATTCTTTATTTTACTTTGCTAGAAGTTCTGCAGTTTTGGTTTTGATTTTTTCTCAGACATGAATTATTTTAAGAGATGTATAAATATACCTGTATTAAAACTTTATAATTATAGACATTAATGTCTTTTTGTTTCTGTTAGGCCCGGAATTAGATAAAAGTAGCCAAGAGGAACCCGAGGCAGACTGACTCAGCAAGGAAGATAGAAAGTACAAAGAGTGCTGAACAAGATAACCACCTTGTGCATGACCTTGTCTTTGCAGAAAAGTATCCATTGTTGCAAGCAGAGAGCATAGCCATGTGTGTTCTCTCGAGATAGCCAATTGCTAACAGCTACGTCTGCTTCTGTATTTGCTTGCTTGCTCACCCCAATAAAAACCCTAGGCTGTAAGCACCAGGCGAGACTCTCATTTGCAGCCTCTTGGCACCGTGTCTCCGGACACCCCGAGAGTTCGCCCCTGCGCAGGTAAAACTTTGGCCAATAAAGTTCCATCTTAAACTCTTGAAAGCTTCCGACCATTTGTTGCTCGCATTGGTGGATGCTACATTTCCTGCTTTTATTTTTTATTGTTTTAGATTTTTTTTAGGTTTTATTTATTTATTTTTAGAGAGTAAGGGAGAAAAAGAGAAAGAGGGGGAGAGAAACATCAGTGTGTGCTTGTCTCTCACGCACCCCCCACTGGGGACCTGGCCCCTGACCCAGGCATGTGCCCTGACTGGGAATTGAACTGGCGACCCTTCGGTTCACAGGCCAGCACTCAATCCACTGAGCTACATCAGCCAGGGCTGTTTCAGATTCTTATAATGAGAGATTGTTGTCTGGACTATTTCTCCCTCTCTCTGGAATGTTCTAAGACTGTCTCTGAAGCATAATAGATGGTAATTATAGGAAATGTCCCAAGAGCCATCGAAAAGACGGCGCCTTCTCGTTTCCTGTTGCAGAGTTTGAAATCCGTTATCTCCAGCCGCCCCAACCCTTGTCTTCCCATTAGCTTTTGCCTTACAAATGTGGGGCTGTCCGGTGCATCGAAGCCCGTGACCGCAGCCGCTGCAGGTGTCCCCTATGATCACAAGAGATGGGGTGGGTGTCGCAGGCCCTGCGGTGTCTGTCGGGAGGGTTCTGAAAGGTCAGTGGGGGTGCCGGCGCCAACGTCATAAACCGCAGGCGGCTGCAAAGATTTCCTTTGCATTTACCATGTGTCTGATCGTCTGAAAAGCAATACCCATCACTGTACGAGAGAGATCCGTAGTTTGGGTGTGCAGACACATTTATCCATTTGGGGACCTCGTTGAAGAACTTTATATCCAGACCGATATAAGGAACCGATCCACATGGCAAGGAGAATGCAGCCCAGCCCTGTCGGAAAACTGACAGGCACGAGTGGCACATGGGAGCCAAACCCACGGATTGGTTCTCCCGTGGGGAACCAGGCCTGCACTGTGCCCTAGGCCTCTGTGAGACTTGCTTTTGCTAAAACTCCCTCACCCTGGATTGAGGCAGAAAATGTTTACTGCATATCTTTAAAGTAACTTCTTAAAATCTATGCTAAACCTCCCAAGTATGGAGCGTAACTAGTTCAACCACCTTTCCCCTTGATCTGCAACATCCTTCTCTTTGAAGTAGTTGCCAACATTCTTTCCTTTGTTATCTGTAAAAGATAACGACCTAAAGTGAACCTGTGACTAGTAAATGAGGACCATCCTCGATGTAATGTGCCCAGAAGAGCAACAAAAGCCTGTCCAGGCGGAGGCTGGGGCCCTCTCTCTCACTGAGACAGTGGCCGTGCGGTCCCTTTTCTCCACAGGACTCTGTGTGAATATGTTCATCGCAGCCACAACACACGGACCCTGTGTGCCAGAGTCTGCAGCAGACCAAGGTCTTAAACAAACCTCTGATCTTTTTTTTCCTATAGTATTTTATTCTTCTCTTCTACACATCAGTGACTCCTGTCTCAGGTGTCCTCAGTCTTGCACTGCGGACATTTGGGGCTGTGTCACTCTTTGCAGTGGACAGCTGTTGTGTGCCTTGCAGGATGTCAGGTGGCACCCCACAAATTGTGACAGCAAAAATGTCTCCAGACTTTGCCAGGCATGATCTGGGGGACAAAATGACCCCCCGCTGAGAACTCCCGATCTCTCTGGAGTTTATCGTTGTGTAAGGCATGAGGTAAGGATCCGGTAATTTTCCCAATATGGTGAGTCAGTTTTACTAATGCTAAAGAACTCTCCTTTTCAAACTTAGGGTACCACGGCTATTATGTACAAGTTCCTGCACACCCCGAATACCCCCCCTGGTGGCCAGCTACTTGGCCAGGTCTTCTCAGCGACACTGGGTGTGCCTGCCGTCCTCCAGTAGGGCACCCCAGCACCCAGCCAGGACCCCATGGGTGTGTCCCTCTTTCTCCAGCCCTGCAGCCAGACGTCCCTGCCGTGGAGAGGGCCGGGCCTCTCATCTCTCTGATCACTTCCTTCAGCTTGGTGTCTTCCTCCAACCTGAAGGAGGACTTTTTTTCAGCTCCCCCTCACGGTCAGCAGTCAGGGTCTAGGGGAGGCAGAGGGTCCCAGTTTTGGGGTGGGGAGAATACCTGAAGTCACGGCCTTCCCCCCTCCTCCCCTTCCCTGATCACCTCTGGAGGCGGGCCAACTGCCGGGAGTGCCTGGGCTCCCTGAGCCTCAGCCGCGCCCAAGGGAGGAGGATCAGACGGGATGAGTCAGGCCGTGCTGCAGTAACACACCACTCGAAATTCCCACGAGTGCAAGACCACAAGGACGCTGCCCAGGCACCCACACGTCCATCACGCGGTAGCAGGGCTCTGCTCAGTCCAGAACAGGGCCGCTGGAACCCCACCGTCCACCCCTGGTCCTGATGGCGGGGAGGACGGTGCGGGGGTTTCTTGCACGGGCTGTCACGTGCTGTGTCCTGGAAGTCGTTTGCCATCTCCGTCCACGGCGGCCAGGGGAACAGGGAAGTCTCGTTTTCCTGTGTCACGGGCGGAGAGTGGAAAAACTTCTCATGCGGAGAGGGCTGCGCTCAGGTGCCCCAGCGCCCTCGGCTCCAGAGCCTGGGCCCAGCCCCTTGCCCTTCACAGCAGCAAACCCTGAGGTACTTGGCTGGTCTCTGGCAGGACCCGTCCGCTGTTTCGATCCCTGTGATTGCGGGGTGTGACCAACAGCCTTGTTCCTGCATCGGCAAGTTACTCAGACTTGCTGCGACTCAGTTTCCTCATCCATACGTGGGGATAAGAGTGACGGGGAGGTGAGGATTCAGGAGGGTGACGTACCGCCGCCTGCTGCACGACACCTGGCGCGGGCCAGGCGCGTGGTGACCATCAGCAGCTGTCACCGTTTGTGAGCACAGCTGTAGGCAGCTGCAGGACACGGGCCTTTTCTGTCCACACCCACTTCCTGAATCCAAAGTCCTCCCACTGGCAGTGTCTGCCCAGCCTCTCACCGGGTCCCTCACCCCGGCACACCCAGGGCACCCCCCCCCCCGGGGGTGCAGAGCATTCCACCCGGTGTTCCGGCCCTGACCGCTCTGATGCCACAACCGTGGAGACACATGGGGCCTCTGAGTGTGGGGCTGTGCGGGCTTTCCTTAGCTGACCCATTTCTGTAGCATTCGGGCAGAATGGCCCTCCCGGCCCTTGAGTGACATTTCCTAGGTCTCAAACCTACTGAGGTCTCTCAGAAATTGGAGACTGACTGCCTGAGGGGCTCCTCTATGTGAGGGAGGGTCCCCCTTTTGGGCTGGTGGCAGGTGACTCCAAGTTTGGGCAAGGCTCCCCCGGAGAAGCACACGCCCCTCCAGGCTGCGTGACGGGGTGCGGCAACGGCGGAATGCAGGGGAGGAGGGGGCGCCCACGCTGTCCGGGCTCCAGCCATCCCCCGAAGCCCCGAGGCCCCCGACCGGCTCACGGCCCAGTGGCTCCACTTTGCCTGGCGCTCTCACCAGCGTGGACACGCCCCCAGCAGCTGACCCAGGCTCCGCCCTTTAGCAGCCTGGGTGCTGAGAGGCGGCTCCGGGAGAGCTACCTGGATCCTCCAGTGTGGCTCTCGTGTCCCGATGCCCAGGGGAGCCAGGAGAGCCCCCCAACTGGGGAGAAGGGTGACTGGACCTGCCAGCAACCCAGCCTGGGCCACTCGGCCCACACCTGTCTGGCAGGGACCTCAGCTCCGCTGCCCAGGGCCAGGCCTCCGGCAGGCGGCCTGCTGGGGTGAGAACACAGGCCTCCTCTTCTCCCCAGACTGTGAGACCCTCTGGGGTAGGGACCACTTATTTCTCCCCCTGTTTCTTTTTTTCCTCCTCTCCCTGGGGTTCAACAAGCACAGACTGGCTTGAGTCCACCCAGAAGACACTGAGATTGGGTTTCAGTCTAACAAGTGAGGGTCCCGCGGCCCCCTCCCCAGAGACTCTGCGCACAGCACCACTTTTCTCTTGGACATTTTATTGGTCCTGAGGCGAGGGGTGGGGCAGGCAGCCCATTGCCTCTCCCTCAGGGCGCCCCAGGCCCTCACTGCTTCCCGTTGCCGTTGATGGGGCGGTTCACGTGCTCGGGAGAGTCCAGGAAGGCCTTGAGCTTGGGCCGGGCGCTGAGGCGAGCCACGTAGGCCGCAAGCAGGGGCAGGGAGTCCAGGCAGCCTGGGGCCAGGACCTGGTGGATCAGCAGCAAGTCCAGCAGGTTGTAGTCTGCGAAGGAGATCTGTGGGGTGGGGTGGGGGTCTCAGCAGGTGGCGGGCCAGGGAGACCAAGAGCCTGAGCTCTGGACCCCTAGGGCTGCCCAGGTGCTCTCTCTGCACCTGTTCCCAGCGGTAAGAGAGGGTGACATGGCAGGGGCAGGACAGGGACAGTCGCTCACCTGGTCACCCACAATGAAGGCCTGGCCCCCCTGGTTCTGGGAGAGCAGGGTCTCAAAGGGCTTCAGGTGCCTGGGCAGCTCCTTCACGTAGCCATCCTTGCCTGCCTCCTGCCAGAAAGATACCACTGGGCGTCACCCTCCTGCCCGCACAGGGCTGCCCACCCCTGTCCGGCCCAGATGCGCCCCCTCCTCTGGGCCCAGTCTCAGAGAGTCACTCCCCACCGCCAGGCTATGGCCACTTGCTGTCCATGCAAGCAAAGCAGCCAATTCTCCTCGAGTCAGTGGCCTCACAGAGGACCCTCCTGGGCCTCCCATTTGGACACCGCCTGCCCAGACTCCTCAATGGCTCCCTGCTGCCTGCGGGGAGGGGTCTAAGCTGGGGGTTCGGACCTCCAGGCCCCGGCCCTGTGCCCTCACACTCTCCCTCCGTCTCTCATGCAACCGCACAGGTGTGCTCCCTCTGCTAACCTGGTCTGGGTCCCCGGAAGCACTCCAGGTCTGCGTACTCTGGGCACCTGCCAGGACCAGCACCCCCCCACCCCCCCAGAAGCTGGTTGTGGATCCTCCCCCCCCACCTGCTACGGGAAGCCCCCTGGCCACCCCAGCCCAGCAATCAGGAACCACC